GTGGCCAATGAATGTGTGTTTTATAAAATGTGATATAAACTATCAACGTAAATGTGGGGAGATAATATTTTTGACGACTACATTCTTCTACATGCTGTAAATAAAACTTCATTCATAGAGCATATGTTGAATCTTTAAAAGTCATATATCTTCCTCTGCTAAAAGGACAAAGCTAGAAAAGGCACAATATTGTCCTCCTCTGTGCCACTTTAGGCAAAACCACTAATAGCACCTGCTTTTGAACCTACAGGCAAAGTTATTATTCTTATAGGGTCATGCATTAATTCATACACTTCATTAGCATATGATGTCTGAAGGAGACTGAAGGGAAATTTTGACAGATTTTCAGATTGTTCCTTTCATGTGTGCAGTTTAATCTTTCTCATAACATGTTAACTCAAAATTAAGCAAACATCTATATTAATTTGACTTTTAACAGTTTAACAAATGCAAACATTTGACATTGCGTGGAAATTTAGTGGAACAATCCTTTAAAGAAAACTAGAACAGAGCTGTTATCTCTGTCTGTGCGTAGATCAGGAAGACCAAACATCAATAATCTCATTTCTTGGGTCAAATATTACAATCAGATCTGCATTATTTTCTTCCCTGAAAACGAAAAGTATTTCGTTTTTCTATCGTGTTAGTATTTTTTTTGTCAGTGATAGAAAATAAAAAGTGTCCTTTCACCTGCTGGTCAGGATGGTCAGATGTTTGGTTCGTTGTGGAATCTCGAAGCTGCATGCAAATCCTCAAGATGACCTACTTCCTCCCTTCCACATAGACACTCCGCTAAAATCCATAAATTAAGGAAATTAACTGATGGGGCCCGGGGCCACTTTGTAAGCTATTTAAATCTTTAAATTTACAACATCCCTGCATACTTCATGTAATTGAACTAACTCCGGGCTTGTTTCCTTTAATGAGAAAAAAAAATCCAGTTACCCCTCCAGTTTGTACCCCTGGAAACAACAAATCTGTGCCAGAGGGGAAGATGGGAGCGCTCTGAGGCGCGCTGAGGTCTGTCTAATTACGGATACTTGGCCCGCTTCAAGGCAAGACGCATTCTCACACTCCCACTAGTCCTACTGTCGAATCACCAGCATAACTGTTTTATTTCCTGTTTAAATACGCATCATTTCATACTCACTGTATGCAGAAAAGAGCTGTAGGAAGACTATCTAAGTCTCTAGAAGTCCAAAGGAGCTATGACAGCAGTGTTGTGGTGATACCAGAGAAAAATAAGACAATTTCAAATTCCATACAATCAATAAGAAATCTGATTATTTTTCTTCCGGGTGATAAATAGGAAAGGTTCCCAAAAAGTGAGACTATATTTTTTGTGGACCAATAATCAGTTCCTACACTGGTTGGCGCCAAATATCAAGAAACGGATATCCCACCTCTCTCAGGGTGCTGGTACAGAGTAATTACTGGGCTCAATGTTGCATCAATTATTCACACTTATTTACCCGCAAATAAACAAACATGCAAATAAATAAATAATCGTCTTCTTAGTGTGAGCACCTGCTTGACTCTCTCTTTCCCCTTCACCAGGTGAAAAATTTGGCGCACTACTTTAGCGCTTAACCACTTGCATTGTGTCTTTATATGTTGAAATATAACAACGATCGGCCCAAATCTTATTCTTCAAAAGTCTGGATGCTGCCTGCTTTCATTGGAGAGTGAGGAGGAAGGAGGAGGGGGGGTTGTTCTGGGCAGATATCTCCATCTAAGCCCTGCGCTATAATTGAAATGGCGCATTTGGCTGCAGGCAGGTTGTGAGGG